ATTGTTTTACAGGTTATCGTTTTTTTTCTAGAAGACCTCAGTCCCTTAATATTCATTTCTCAACCATCTTTTTCTTCTTGAAACTGTTATTGTACTTCTAAGGGATTTTCATTAAAACAAAAAAGTGTGGTTATACTCTCAGTACTTTTATTAAACAATAAATACCTTTTAATATTAGGGGTTAATGTATTTCCCCATACTATTTTTATTTTTCCATTTCCTCTTTCTCTGCAAAGTACTTTGTGGCCAAGAGTTAGTTACAAGATAGCTTTTTTTTTCTTTTCTTTTTTTTTTTTTCCCCCCAGTATTTCATGTAGTAGTAAGCTCACTTGTCAATATCATTTGAGGAGTTTTCTTTTTCTCATATTCATATAAAGCCCACTTATCCACATTCATGCTTGATCTATAGAAATGGTGATTGTTATTCCTATCAAGTTGTATTTTTTTTTTTTACTTTTGAAGCTAAAACAGGAGCTATAAATGCTTATTTAATTTTTAATATTTGTAAGTATTGGTGATATATAAATCTTAGTTCCTTATTACCTGAAATTATATACAGAAAAATGTATACCGTTATTTTAGGCTTGAGGTACATTGACTTTGAGAGTAGAACTTGAGATAGAGGGAAAAGAACTGACAGGACTTGAACTTAAAGAAAAAATTTACACTACATACAGAATTAGCATTTGATTAGGAGGAAGTTGTAAGAGAGGAAGAGGAATATGGAAGCTATAGAGTAGAAATTTTAGTTCCTTGGATATAGATGTTTAGAGTTAAAAGTAATCAAAATAACCTCCTTCAAATACTGAGTTAAGGAAAAACCTGTATTGCTACTACTAGAAATGAAGAAAAGTTTTCTCTTGAGGGCATTTACAAAAAATTGAACAGTTTTGTTCTTTTGTGGATCTTTGGAGAATTGTTTGAACATATTGTATGAATTGAGGTAACTGTTGAGAGAATTTTGAGAAGTATTGATTACTTTGTAATAAGCCCAAATATATCCATCATGTCTTATTCTAAGTTCACATGGTTAGACAGATTCTGCTGATTAAATTCTACCCTCTATACTGTAGACACTGAGCCATAGGCCTAAGGCCTTAAAATGTCATTGAACAGAATTTCAGCTTGGATCAGTTGTAAAATGCTCTGACTCATGGGCTTTTATAGATTTTTTATTTCCTCTTAAGAAATGTAATGCTTATAGTGCATATCTCTGTTGGTTTTAAGAAATGTAAGCTGGCTTTTTGGAGGGATGCATCCCTGATTAGGAAAGTGTCTTAAATTGATTTTCAGTAACTATTTCAGTCAGCACTTTGAACTGCTCTTAGGTACCTGGTGCCATTATAGCCTATGGTCAATAACTTTCCTTTTTTGTGGCTTACTTCACAAATTAAGAAAGCTTTCTGTCGATTATTTTTTTGGTATCTGTATTTTATCTCTGGTCTAGCTAGCATAGTGCTAGATACCTGGTAGATTCTCAGTGGAAAATTATTTGAAGAGTCAAAGATGCTGAGAAGGCCCAAACATCTCAAGACTCACTTCCTGTCTTTACTTCAGACTTGGCTTAAAAATTAACACTCAGAGAAGTTCCTAAGAACTTCTCAAAAATGGCAATTCTATATGACTTTCTCATAAGCTGCCTTGTTTTTCTTCAAAGCACTTTTATTTCACCAGCTGATACTTCTCCCCTGGGAATTTAAATGTCATAAAACCAGGAATTTTGTTTTGTTCATTGTATCCATTTTTAGTGCCTAGTAAATTGTAGGCAGTCAAATGTTTTCTGAAGGTATAATAAAGGTTAGAAATTGTATCAGATGCCCAAGGGGACATAAATACACATCAGAAATGAATTCAGCTCTTGTGCACACAAGTAACTATAGTACAAGATGGGTTCAGGTGACTAAGAGAACTGCAGTGAAAATGCTGGGAGTATTTTAGGGGTTTATTACTTCTAGCTGGCTTCTTAAGAAATGACATTTAAGCTGGGTCTTATTTCATACTAGGGAAACAAGCAGAGGATCAGAGGTAGGAAAAGTGAATACATATAGTAGTACATATAAGAAAAGGTGAACTATTCAATTTGGCTAAAATATACTAGTGAAGAACTAAGAAATTAGTTAGAAAGGTAGGTTAGAGCCATGTCAGTGGAAAGTCTTAAAATCAAAGCTGAGTTTGGATTTTGTCCCATTGGCACTGTGGAAATTGTTTTTTTGCTTCCTTAAAAGGAGTTATATGTGGTATTATTGGACGTGCATAGAAAGAGACTGAAGTTTAAATTATGAGGTAGGTAGGTGAACATAGTAGCAAGGAGTGTATATTAGAATAATAATATAATTCAAAGGTAGGATTGATAATGGTCAGCAAATTGACAAGTGAGGCATGAAGAATACGGGAAACGGAAGAAGCCAAGATGAGTCATTAAATAGAGAAATAGGTGTTGTCATTAAATAGAGAAATAGGAAACATGAAGAAAGAACGGATTTGAGAAGGAAGATTGGTTTAATTTTTAACATCTGGCTTTGAAGTGGCTAGCATTTGAATGGAGAAATGTAGGCATTTGGAAAGCTACTAAGGCCTCAGATTTGGGGATGGTTTGCAAAGTAGTGTTTGAAACCTTGAGACTAAAAGGAAAATAGCAGAGATCAAATTTTTGGGAAATAGCTCTATTAAGAGAATAGGGAGAAAAGGCAATGGAAGAACAAAACCAAGTAAGAGAACCAAGAGAGGACAACATTGGAGAAATCAGGAAAGATATTTTCAGGAAGAAGTAAGACACAAAACATTTTTCCAGAAAGAACTCTGTTGTAATCTAGGAAGTGTGATATATATTTTTTCTGTCATATCATACATTATCTTGCTGTACAGTTTAGCATAGTTCTTTATACATAGTAGATTTTGACAGTTTAGCATATCTTAAGGTATTCATGGAGTCTCACCTACCTATCTTTAAGAATTAACCTTTGGCAGAATGTTATATTAATATCGAGGCTCAGTGCATTATGCAGTCTGGTGTCTTGCTGAAAACCCGTGCTTTCCAGATTTTCTACCAAGTTATTTGATTCAGAGTCCCTCTGTGGTATATTCTTGATCTTTTCTATTATTTTTAAAACAGTAAAAGTCGTAACCAGCAATAAGTGAAGGATCTCAGAGTACAATGTGGAAAACAGTTAATGGAGTTTAGGCATTGAATAAGTGCTTGTATTTTTGTCTTACACTTGAGCTATTTAACATATGAATTATTTTAGACTATCTTCAAAGAATATTTTTTTTATCACTTCTATAGGTGCTTTCAGAAAGTAAATAGGAAACTATAAAGAAAATAACTTGCTACAAGTACAAGAAGACAAATATAAAAAAACCGAAGCTGATTTGTTGGTAAGCTGACTGGAAAGATTTCAGCAGCATTTAGCAGAAAAGTTAGGACTAGAGAAACTTGGTTACTTCAGTGCAGTATTTTATCCAGGAGAGACAAAGATGAGACTTACTGTGACTCTTCAGTATAGTATAAAAAGGAAAATTTCTCTCTATTAAAGAGAATTTTTAGGTAATCAAATTTGATCACAAATTGACTTGAAATTTTATGGTCCACCTGTATCACGAGAATAGACTTTTGAATACATAAATACTAATTATTGAGACAAGAGAAAATAAGCAAGTGTAATCAGAAGCTGATGTAGTGTATAACAGTATCTAAAGCATCTGTATCTTGTTCTGTGTGATAATACCATTAAAGATAAATCGAATAAAATACATGTCTAAAAGTGGAGATATTATCTGGTGTGTTGAATTTGTATTGTGTGGCATCCTTATAATTCACATCCATTAAATAGAGATTATTAGAATAAAGTTAACTAAAAAAAAGATAGAGTTATTAATTGTTAAAACAGTATTAGCATATGCACTTATGTAGAAAATTTTACATAGTGTGGATGTTAACATTTCATTTTCATTAAAGAGATGTCGTTTTTGTAAAACAACTCTTTCAGGTCTGATTTAGTGAAAATATTTGTTAGGTCCGGATATTTAAATGTCCTTTTTATTGAGAATTTACATTTATTTTTTATTGGATTAGTTGTATGGTGATTTAAAAAATCCGGAATAGCTTATGCAAAGCAGGAAATAACATGTTTTACTTTCCTAGCATTTCTTTTCTCTTGTGAGTTGAATAGTTATAGCAGTGTACAAGTTCTTATACTTATTTGTTGAATTCTCTTACTGTCATCCTAAAATAGTAAATTTATTCATGTTAATTTATGCTAAGAGTCATTAGGCCTGATTAAGATTCAAAGCCTTAAAATATATTATTGTTAATTTTTTTTCTTACTTACTATACAACATCTATTTGAATGGAGGGAATAGGAGTGGACCTAGTTGACTGGAATGGTCTTTCTGCTATTATATTTGCATCTTTCATATGATGTTAGGGCAAAAACAGTTTCTGAAGCCCTTCTTTGAACAATGATAATATAAAGTACAGTTGACCCTTGAACAACACAGGCATTAAGGGTGCCTACCCCTGACCCATGCAGTTGAAAATCCATGTGTAACTTTGACTCCCCAAAACCTGAACTACTAATAACCTGCAGTAGCCTTATTGATAACATAAGCAATTAACACATATTTTATATATGTATTATATTCTGTATTCTTACAATAAAGTAAGCTAGAGAAAAGAAAATGTTAAAATTATAAGGAAGAGAAAATACATTTACTGTACTATATATATTGGAAAAAAAAATTCTCATGTAAATGGACCCACGCAGTCCAAACCCATGTTGTTCAAGGTTCACCTGTATTTAATATCGTCAGTAGCACACATTCTTTCCTTTCTTCTTCCCTGGTTTACTATATCTTTGAATAATATTGGCCAGAAAATATATTTGAAGAGGGTTTTTATAAATGTATTTTAATATTTATGTATTATACACGTGGTGAAGTCAGTGCATTTAAGATAAAAATAATTTTATGTATTTAATTATTATGCTTCTGATCATTTGTAGGAGAAACCTAACCAAACTGTCCCTGATCTTCAGCCACATGCTAGCAGAACTAAAGGGAATCTTTCCAAGTGGACTCTTTCAAGGAGACACATTTCGGATTACTAAAGCAGATGCTGCAGAATTTTGGAGGAAAGCTTTTGGGGAAAAGTAAGTCTCAAAATAATGAATTTGAACCCATGAAGATCTAAAGCTTGTATTGTGGACTTTTGTTTAGTTTTTTATTTAGCAAAATATTTAAAATGGGAAAACATAGAGGAAAAGAATAATTTTGTGTATACCTACTTTCCAGCATTGGTAAATGCTAACATTTTCTGCCCCCACCCCTTTAAAGAAATTCAGCAGATTCAGTTGAAACCCATGCTTGAATATGCTTCTCTTCCTCTCCTCATTCATTATGTTGTTAATTGACATTCACATTTCAAATTATTTTGCTACTGCAAACAGTCCTATAGTGAACAAAATTGTATTTGTCTTCATATGCAAGAGTTTCTCTATAGTTACATAGCTAGGAGTAGCATTGATGAGTCAGGGGGTTTCATATATTCTGCTTTGCCAACTGTTGCCTAATTGTTTTCCAAAGTGGTTGTCCCAGTTTATATTCTCATAAGTAGTGTATACCAATTCCAGTAGCTCTTCAGTTTGATTAACACTAGTAATTTGAGTTGGTATATTTTGCTTTATATTCCTGATGACATGGGAGGTTGAACATCTTTTCTCATTTGTGACTGATAATCAGGATTCTTATCCTGACTTGCCTATTCCTCTTCCACACTTCTCCATTTTCCCATTAAGTTGTTTGTCTTTTTCCTGTTCTAAGGTATTAATTCTTTGTTAAATTACAGATACCTTCTCCTTGGCCATGGCTTGTCTTTCCACTGTTATATTGTATTATAAAGTACAGAGTTTTAAGTTATATAGATCTGTGTGTCAAGTATTAATTTAAATGTGCTTATATATCTGAAATTTTGGATCAAAGGACTGGAAAGGTAGAAGAAAGCAGTAAAATTTTTGAGTTGAATATACAGACCCTAACATCTCCCTTTAAATGCTTTCTTTATTTAGACAAATGTTTACATATAAAATATAGAATAATTAGCAATTTTAAAAAACCTAGTTGAAGAGAATGGAGATAAGTTTAACATTGTTCCTTTAATAACTATATTAAAAAAGAGTTTAGAATACCACTTGTTCTCTTATTTTCAGGCAGGTGAATACATGAGCTTTTCCAAGGCTTTATTTGTTTTAAAGATCTTAGGAAAGAGAAATCCCATTGTATCTCTTCCTAGCCTTATCTGGGGTTTAATCACTCATATTAAATAATTTCTTCCTCATCTCTATCAGAACTCTGTTCTTCCTTTACCTTAAGCCTATTTCTTCCTGTCTAGTCCTTGATAGTGCGGATTCCTCAAAGAACTCAGAATGTTTTACATGGTTTAAAAAAGTTAGATTAAACACAAGCTTTCAGTTAGTAAAGGCCGGGCCACAGATTACATTTATTATACCAAAGAATAATCTCTGTGTGCTTATCTAATAGAAAAAAAGGTCTGAAGAAAGATGAGAAAGGAGATTAATTTGTGACACTCTGCCACAGAATAGTAGAAAAAGACTTCTCTATTATTAATTTACTCATTAGAAAGTTAAGAAATATCTCATTTACTCCCTTTCTGTTCTCAATCCAAAATATAGCTCAGCTTCTTTAGGAGAATTGAAATTGATATTGAGAGCTTAATGTGGCTCTCTTTTCCTTGATTATAGCAATGCCCAGAATTATCTGTTACCTTACTCTGTGCCTTCTCATCCACCTCCTACCCCAGGACAATAGTCCCTTGGAAGAGCTTCCGACAGGCTCTTCATGAAGTACATCCCATCAGTTCTGGGCTGGAGGCCATGGCTCTGAAATCCACTATTGATCTGACCTGCAATGATTATATTTCAGTTTTTGAATTTGACATCTTTACACGACTCTTTCAGGTAAGATAATAAAAAGTTGGCTAAAGTAGTTATTGCCATTTTTCTGAAGAGAAAGCTTTTTTAAAAATAACACTTAGGATATTGCTTATTATAAAAGTATTTTTATTCATTCTAGAAACTATAAGCAAGAAAATTAAAACTACTCTATTTCGTATCTGTATAGATATACATACATATATAGTATTTTTTGTTAAAAATAGTAACTATGCAGTCTGCTTTCTTGTCCTCACATTTATAATCTCTTTATTATTAAATATTCTTTTTTTGCATCATTTTAATAATAGATTGTCTAGAAAATGGGTATACAGTCACATGCCACTTAATAATTTATTCTGAGAAATGCATCATTAGGCAATTCCATCCTTATGTGAATATCATAGAATGGGTTTACACAAACCTGTTGGCACAGCCTACTGCACACCTAGGCTTATTGGTATAGCCTGTTGATCCTGGGCTACAAACCTGTATAGCATATTACTGTACAGATTTAATATATCTTTGAATAATATTAGCCAGAAAGTATGTAGGTAGGTACTTATAGGTAATTGTAACACAGTGATAAGTATTTGTATATCTAAACATAGAAAAGGTACAGGAAGAATATGGTATAAAGGATAAAAAATGGTACACCTGCATGGAGCATTTACCATGAATGGAGTCTGCAGGACTGAAAGTTGCTCTGGATGAGTCAGTGGGTGAGTGGTGAGGGAATGTGAAGGCCTAGGACATTACTGTACACTGTTGTAGACTTTATAAACACTGTACCCTTAGGCTACATTAAATTTATAAACTAACATGAGACCGTACAGCACAGGAGAAAATGATGCAATCAAGAGATGGTAAACTTAAGATGTAGGAGACTACTGACATAACACAGCATACTGTTTCACATCAAACTTTTTTTCTAAGTAAAAAGAGCGCACTCTAAAATAATGATAAAAAGTATAGTATAGTAACATAGTTATTTATTATCATTATCAAGTATTATGTACTTTATATAATTGTACACGCTAAACTTTTATATGACTTGCAGTGCAGTAGGTTTATTTATACCAGCATCACCACAAACACATATGTTGCACTATGACATTATGACAGCTATGATGTCACTAGATGATAGGACTTTTTTTATGTGCCATTATAATCTTAAGAGACCACGATGGTATATGTGGTCAGTCATCTACCAAAATGTCATTACATGGTACATGACTATAATATGATGTATTTAATCAGTTCTCTGTTATTAGACAATTATGTATGTTTCCAACTTTGCTCTTTTTGACTGTTGAGATGTATTGATGCTTCAAAAAGAATTCATGTTTTCTTTTTCTAAAGATAATGTGTATATATGTCAACTTGCATAATCTTTTATTTGGAACTTCTCAGTTACATGTGCAGTCTCTGCCCTATTTTTGTTTTTTGTTTGTTATTATTTAACCTCACTACCGTTAGTTGGAAGTGCTTTAAAATTTCTTGAATTTCATTTGTAAAGTTAAATTTTTCCTTATAAAGATACGTTCATTTTTTTTTTTTTTTTAGCTTTTCGGAGTTCTTTTCTCCCAAACTTATTTGTCTTCCCTCAAAGTCTCAATATAATCAGAAATTTAGCAGTAAATGGAGAGTTCATAATTGAAAATTGAGGTGGTTTTCCTTTTGTTTTTCGTTACTCTGAAGCTGATTGTATGTCTTGAGCCAGATGGTCTGATCGATCTCTTGTCTCCTTAGCCCTGGTCCTCTTTGCTCAGGAACTGGAATAGTCTTGCTGTAACTCATCCTGGTTACATGGCTTTCCTGACGTACGATGAAGTAAAAGCTCGGCTCCAGAAATTCATTCACAAACCTGGCAGGTCAGTGCCATGAATCAGAGGTTTATTCTCCTGAATTTTATTCTTTTGTGACCTTTGTTAGAATAGAGAAAACATAATCTTTTATTAGTTTTCCAGTGGCAGTGTTTCTGCAGTAGGATTGATGCCTGTTTATCAAAGGAATTGACTCTTTCAAATCCTATGATTTGATAAACGCTTTCAAGCCACTTAAGATTTGGGCTTATGTGTCTTTGGTTTTTGGTATGGAGTCATTCAAGAATTGCCATATTGGTGGTCCTTTTGATTTTTGTCCATCTTGTCTTCTACCCTAATATAAGCATATGTATTCAAAATTCTGTTTATCTCTGTTCTCAGTTACATTTTCCGGCTGAGCTGTACTCGTCTGGGTCAGTGGGCTATTGGGTATGTCACTGCTGATGGGAACATTCTCCAGACAATCCCTCACAATAAACCTCTCTTCCAAGCACTGATTGATGGCTTCAGGGAAGGCTTGTGAGTACCTACTGTTCACCATCTGCTAGAATCTAGGAACTTAGGGACTATAAAACTTCATCATTAATGACTTTATTTCAGGTTCTTTCTACAGGTTGAGATATATGAAACATAATAAGAGGTTCTGTTGTTTTGACCTTCAAGTTCTGTAGGACTTCTGTTTTTATTTAAAAGGGATTCCTTGGGTGAAATTTCTCTACTGCTTCAGTTTTTACCATGAGTAAACTATCTTTCTCCTTTTCCAAATGTTAACATATTTTCAAGTCTATATTAGATTTAAAATTATACCAGTTAGAAGAAAATGTTACCAGTTATTTAGCCAACATTAGAGTGATTAGATGTTTGCTCTTTATGACAGTGGGCTCAGTGGCCTTCATCCTAACATCATTTTGGTTCAGTAGCATTTCTTCAGGCTTTGGGCTTTTGTAATCTATGCTAATATTTATGACTAAGTTCTTACTTATTCCAGAATTGCTATTCCTTTTGGCATTCAAATTATCATTTGGTAATCACTAAAAGTACTAACAGTTGACCAGGTATCAGAAAACTATTTATGTTTAAGGTGATTTAGGAAAATTTGTTTTCCATTATGCATCACCTACAGTAGCATTGGAACTGAAAGGGGTGCTTTTCCAAATGTCAGAGCAGTTTGATACTAGAAGTTTCCTGGTAGGTGATGTTAGTAGCTTAATTTGCTTCTTGTTACATTCTTTCTTAATTGGTGTCTCTCAGTGTTGAATTTGCAAACAATGGTATTTCAGGTCTTTAGTCCAAAGCAAATGCAGTTTAAATTAAGAATTTATACTTCATGCCCATCCATAGATGAAAATAAAGGTTGGCAAACTGGCCCACCGGCTAGCTGTTTAGTATGGCCTGCATCTGAGGTAGTTTTTCCTTTTTAAATTGTTGTTTTTTTAAAAAAATAACAACAATGAATATGTGACACAGGCTTATGTGGCTTACAAAGCCTAAACTATCTACTGTCAGTCTCTTTACAGAAGAAGTTTGTCAATCCTTGGATTAAAAGATAGAGCCTGTGGCATTGTGCCTGGAGAAAAGAATATCAGTATTTGGAGAATATCTTTTTGGAACTGTTCTGTTATTTATTTTTTTGAAGCATTACTAAGATTTATCACTTTTGCAAATTTATTGGCTTCAATAAAATCCCAAGGTTGGTTATTTTTTTATAGCTATTTGTTTCCTGACGGACGAAATCAGAATCCTGACTTGACAGGCTTATGTGAACCAACTCCCCAAGACCACATCAAAGTGACCCAGGTGAGTTTCGTTTTATATTATAACCATATAACTAGAGCCAAGCTTTTATACATACTTAATAGAATTGACAGTAGAATTGTATTAAGTGATTAGAACACTTAAATTTTAAACCGTTGACTAGATTAGTGAATTTATGTGTGTAGTTTCTCTTAAAACCATGTAGCTTAAAATAGGACCAAGACTAGATGATTTCTGTTTAATGGGAGAATATTGACTGCTGTTGTGAAACTTTTATATAAGAAAAATTTGTGTAGAAAGTAAATTTTAATTTTTCTGTTTTTAGCATTTATAGCTATAGTCATTCATTCATGCAACAAATATTTGAAATAGGATGAGTAATCTCTTAATTTTTTTTAAATCAAAGGAACAATATGAATTATACTGTGAGATGGGCTCCACATTCCAACTGTGTAAAATATGTGCTGAAAATGATAAGGATGTAAAGATTGAGCCTTGTGGACACCTCATGTGCACATCCTGTCTTACATCCTGGCAGGTATGGATCCAAATCATGCATTTTCTCAGCTGTGTAAGCACTCTGAACAACTGGGGATAATATATCCTTTACAGGTAAAAGGGATGGCCTGGTTTGTGGAGTAGGTTTTAAACTTTTGATTTCTTTCTTTTTTTTTTTTTTTTTCTATCCAGGAAATGTATTTCCTAGTAAATGAATATTTTAAGTTCTTTCAGATGTGCCTGTTACCATCTCCTGTTTCCTCTGCAGGAATCAGAGGGCCAGGGCTGTCCTTTCTGCCGATGTGAAATTAAAGGTACTGAGCCCATTGTGGTAGATCCATTTGATCCTAGAGGAAGTGGCAGCCTATTGAGGCAAGGAGCAGAGGGAGCTCCTTCTCCAAATTATGATGATGATGATGATGAACGAACTGATGAGTCGCTCTTCATGATGAAGGAATTAGCTGGTGCGAAGGTAAGACTGCAATTTAAGATACTGGCAAAATCCATTTTGAGTTGTGTTCTAAAGCTATAGAGTACATAATGACATCCAGACCATAAGGAGTAATAATAGTTAATATTTATTGAGCGTTTACTATGTGAGAGATACCATACTAAGCAATTTTTAAATTTTAGCTCATATAACCATATGAGTAGGTGCTATTATTATCCTCATTTAACAGATGAAGAAACTGAGGCACAGAGAGGATAAGGAATTTGCTGAAGATAACACAGTAAGTTGAACCAGAATCTGTGGCCAGATAATACTGGCTTCAGGGCCTATGCTCTTACTGTCTGTATCGTAAAACTGGGCTTTACTCTGATAGCTTGGTGGAGAAAATGAAGGGGAATAAAAGAATTGGACTCTAATTTACTCCTGAGAGTAGAACATGTTGTTCTTGTCTTTTTTTCTAATGGAATCTTGGCATTAGAAAGTTAAGTTTGGTGAGGAGGAAGGAGACACTGTAAATTATCAAATAAATGGTAACAAAAATGATTAGAGGGTGGTAGGAAGTACCCTGTAGAAACTAAACAAACTATAAAGGCCCTTGTAAAGATAGACGAGATAAAGGCTAAGAAAGGATCTGATCAAACTCTGCTATATCAGATGGTAAGGTAGAACAAGAATTTATTCTCTATATCTTAAAAGTAAGTCAGCCATGAAGATTTTAGTAAAATATAGGACAAACAAAGGGTTCCTATATTCTGCAGATTCTCTAGAATGTTATAAATTTATGGGGTGCATTTTCTTGGTACAAATGAAGCTTTCTTTTTTTATCACCCTTTGACTGCCTCACACATAGTAGGTGCTCAATAAACATTGAAAGAATGGATTTTATCTCTTAAATAATTAGATCCAGTGTATATCTTCTTCTGTGTCCTCAATGCCACTGCCTTATTTCAGGCTCTCATCATCATTTGTTCTTACTGCTACCAGAGTAATTGATCTACAACACAAACCTGACCACCTCATTCGTTTGCTTCATTCCTCTTTGATGACTTCTCATTACTTAATGGGTTAAATCTATTCTCCTTTCCAGGCACTTTGCACTGATAATCCTTTCTAGTTTATATTTTGTGATCTAGCAAGGCTGAACCACTAAAAAATTCTCAATGCTTTTGTCTTAGTAGTTTCTATGTAATTTAGCTGTTTTCATTTTCTAGCAAACCTTTTCAGACTATACCCTGCTTTTCCCACCCCCAACTCACACATATTTACACACATAAAGTCTAGGCCTGGCCAGGTGTTTCTGGGTTTCTGTGTATATATCTGCTATAGACTTAACACCTTGTAATAATTTATGAAACCTGTTTCCCATTATAAAGTTCTAGAAAGCAAGAGCTATATCTCATTTGTAATTAGCTACTCAAAATTGAGCACATAGTAATTACTTTGAAGGTTTGAATGGAAACTGAACACTTCAAAGCAGGAATTGTTCAGTTTATCGGTGCTATATCATTAATGGATAATTGAGGAAATCTGGATTATTTAAGTGGTACATTTTTGGTTTTCTGAAGTTGACAGTAGTCTTGAGGAAAAACTCAAGTAGAGATTCATTTGACATAGCAGTTTCATCTTCTTACATAGGTTGCTATCTGTTCATTCATGAAAATTTACTGGTAACCCCTAGAATATTAGGGAAGCTGAATAAGATAAATGATTCTTCATACATGTATTTATTTGAAATTAAAATACCCTTTTTTCTTCATGAATTTTTATAGATGGTAATACTCATTGTGGAAAAACAGGCACTCACATTCGTTGTTGATGGTACAAATTAGTTTTTTTGGAGGACAATTTGACATCTACTGAAATATGTAATGTTCCCAGTTTGAATTAGCAATTCCATTTCTAGGAATTTATCCTAAAGAAATACTCAGTGTACAAAGCTACAGATATAGTTACTCTTACAGTATTATTTGTAATAAAAAAAAAAAATTAGAAACAACCCACATGCCCACGTGTCAGTATTCTATTGCTGCCATAACAAATAACTACAACTTTAGCAGCTTAAAACAGTACATATTTATTCTCCTATGGTTCTATAGGGCAGAATTCCAACACACATTCCATCTCCCTTTCTGGAGGCTCTAGGCTCATTTTAGTTTGGCAGAATTTAGTTCCTTGCCAGTTGTAGAATTAAGATCTTGTTTCCTAGTCAGTTGTCAGTTTATGGTATTGTCAGCTACTAGGGGCTAACTTCATTCTTTGGCTTCTGGACTCCTTTCCTCCTTTAATTATATCTTCCTGAGATTCCTTGCTTTTAAGGACTCATGTGATTAGATTGGGCCCCCTTGGACAATCCAGGATAATCTCCCTATCTTAAGATCTATATCTTTAGCAGAGTTCCTTTTTCCATATAAGGTAACACATTCACAGATTCTGAGTTTTGGGGCATGAACATCTTGGGTGAGGAGGATCATTAGTCTGCCTATTACAATCCATATAATGGAATGCTCTGCAGAATGAGTTCAGTTTACATATACCGAAGTGGAAAGCTATCTAATATATATTAAATTTAAAAAACTGTATACTACGTATAGTATCATCTATTTCTGTTAAGAAAATTGGGTTGTAAAAAACTTTTTAACATGCATAGGGAAAAAGTTGGATGACTGCACAGCAAATTACTATTATTTCTGAGGATACAAGTCCAGAGGACTTAAATTTTATGGAGTATTTAAAATTTTTTTTTCAATTAACATATATTACTTTTACAAGATGTTTATTGTGCTAGGTAAGTAGCTCTGTGTTGAGTACTATACAGAATAAGAAACCTAAGACAAAGGCCTGCAAGGAGCTAGTAGTTTTATTTGGGAAGAGAATATATATGTAAGCGAAACACTATTTAACACAAGGTAGACAGTATACACTGTTTTCAGTTGTTTGATGCACACTCTTTAAATACTGTGGGACTTTAGAGGAAAGAAGAAAATGAATGCTTTCTTCAATAATTGATAAATATGAATGATATTAAATTTACTCATTTAAATGTGATAAATGTACACTGTAAAAACTTGAGTAGAGAGAAAAACAGCATGTATTACATTGTCTCTTGGCTACGTGGTAATTTAGTCTCTTAATGGACATTCATATTGTTTCTAGGTTTATACATATTGATATTCTTTGCATGTCTAATTGTAGGTTAAATTTTTAGCAGTAGAATGCTGGATAAAGATTTATGTAAAAATTTAAATTCCGATAGAACAGAAGGATATAATTAGGGGAGAGGCACATGGAAATTTCAGTCGGTGGTGTTTCATTTCTTAGCTGAATGGTAGCTACTAGGTGGCTGTTTTATTTTATTATTGTTTGTACCTTACAATTTGTATAAGGTATGAATTTAAAAATTGAGTAAAAATATTTATCTTTTTTGATAGATTTTTTAACATAATTTTATTTTTCAGTTATAGTTGACATACAATATTATATTAGTTTCAGGTTTACAACATAGTGATTAGACATTTCTGTAAGTTATGAAATGATCACCCCAGTAATCTAGTACCCATCCGACACCATACATAGTTATTACTTTATACATTATTGACTATATTCCCTCTGTTATACTTTACATCTCCATGACTGTTTTGTAAATACCAATTTGTACCTCTTAATTCCTTCCCCCCTTCAGCTATCACCCCAACATCAACATGTTCTGGAAAACATCAACATTTTCTCTGTATCTATAAGCTTGTTTCTGTTTTATTTTGTTCTTTAGATTCCACATGTAACTGCAATCATATGGCATTTGTCTTTCTCCGTGTCACTCCACTGAGCACAATACCCTCTAGGTCCATCCATGTTGTCTCAGATTTCATTCTTTTATATGACTGAGTCATATTCCATTGAATATGGAATATTCACCTCATCTTTATCCATTGCATCCATCATTGGACGCTTAGGTTGTGTCCGTATCTTAGTTATTGTAAATAACACTACAATGAACATGAATCTGTTTGTCCTTCGAAGCAGTGTTTTTGGTTTCTTTGGATATATACCCAGATATGGGATTACTGGGTCCTTGTCTCATGTTACAGCCTTTGTTTTAAAGTCTGTATTGTCTGGTATAAGTATTGCTACCCCGCTTTTTATTTCTTTCTTTCCATTTTCATGAAATATCTTTTTCTGTCCCTTCCTTTGAGTATGTGTATATCTTTTGATCTGAAGGGACTCTCTTGTAGGCAGCATATGTAAGGAAGAGTCTTGTTTTCTTATCCATTCAGCCATCCTATATCTTTTTCTTTTCATTTGTTATATGTTATTATTTTTTATTATGGTGACATTGGTTAACGAAATCTAGTAAGTTTCAGGTGTACAATTCAACATTAAGGCATATATATACATTGCATCATGTGTTCACCACCCATAGTTAGATTTCTTTCTGCCACCACATATTTGACCCCTTTTACCACATCTACCTGCCTCCTCCCCTCCCCTCTGTTAACTATTAGTCTGTTGTCCATGTCCATGACTCCTTGCTTGTTTGTCATGTTTGTGTGTTGCTTTTAGATTTATATTCCACATAGAAGTGATATCATGTGGTTTTCAACTTTTTATGTCTGGCTTATTTTGCTTAGCATGATTATCTCAGTATATATCCAGATTGTCACAAATAGCAGTATTTCATCTCTTCTTATAGCTGAGTAATATTCCATTGTATATATGTACCACAGCTTCTTTATTCATTCATCTGTTGTAGGACACTTCGGTTGCTTCCATGTTCTGGCCCCTGTGAATAATGTTGCTATGAACATTGATCTTCAGATATCCTTTCTGATATATGTTTTCAAGTCTTTGGAGTAAATACCCAGTAGAGGGATTGCTGGATCATATGGTAGATCAATTCTTAGTTTTTTGAGGAACCTCCATACTGTTTTTCTTAGTGACTGTACCAATTTGTAGTCCCACCAGCAGTGTATGAGGGTTCCTTTTTCTCTGCATCTTCTCCAACACTTGTTATTACTTCTCCTGTT